CCCCCCCCCCCCCGATAGTAGCGAACGGCATACCGAACCATGGACACCTTCCTCCTGACATCCAAAGGACACAAGTTAAACAGCTTGAGCCGATCCTTGTAGGAAGGGATAATCTTCATATTTTCCCCTTCAAGAACAAAAGCTATTCTTGTCACAGATTTTTGGATATTCTCAAGCTGCTTAACATGTGTGACCTCCATCGGTCCCCAAACAGAACAGCAATAATATCGGTGCATTTAATACCATTTATCACTAAATTTGTGATTGGTGAGTCTTACGATATAATGCGATCGAGTCTGTGTTAATAGTCATTTTGTACTCCCCATTCTTCAGGCAATATTCATCTGCTAGAACATAATGAAAATTATACACTGACTTTTCCAAGTGCTTTTGGGAGGTCAATTTTAACAGTTCCGTGGATGGAGTTGCGAAATAAAAATCCCTGGTAGTGTTCAAAGGGAGAGTTCTATGGCTTTGTATGGCCCAAAGATTTTAAGATTAATGATAAATCCGTTTCTAATTTAAGATACCCTGATGATACAGTAGCATACTAATTTCTGACAGTGAAAGTGACTTGCAAGAACATTTAGACAATTTAAAGTTTGAAAGTGAATGAAGAAGGTTGTATGTTTATTAAAGAAAGACTAAAGTCATAGTGTTTAGTACTAAACAAAATGTTCCTGGTTGTTGAATAATTCGCCGCTCACATCACGAACTAACACAATCAAAGTAGATTGTGTTAGTTCGTGAAATCAAAAAAGCGCGTCAAAATACGCGCTGTTGTTGTTAAGGACTTTTTGTGTGGTAAAGAATACAAAATTGCTTGACAACCAATACGCGCTCGTTTTGACGCGCTACTGTGATTTCACAAACTAACACAATCTACTTTGATTGTGTTAGTTTGTGATGTGAGCGACAAATTGTTGATGGATAGATTTGATTACTTAGGTAGCATTGTTACAAGTGATTGTATAAGGGACACAGACATCAACCGTAGGATAGCTATAGCTAAGAAATAAATTCATGGACCAAAAGAATATTTTTACAAGTAAAAAGGTCAATCTTTAGTTAGATCTAATCTTGAGTTTTGTACTATTATTTTTAATTCAATTTCAACTGCACAGTCTGTTATGTTGCAACGTATTCAAATTAAATTCTGTAGGTTCTATTTTCATAAATTTGGTAAAAGTCCTAAGTTGGCTTTACTCGAAGAGAGAAGGAATATTTTTGATCTTATTTTTCTTTACAAATGCATAAATGCCAGTTTTGACGGTGATTTCACTTCTTTTTTTCAAATACTAGTTCCTTTGCATAGATTAAGATCCCCTGGATTATTTAGGGTTCCACCGGGTAGGGTTAACGTTACAAAAAATGGTTTTATTTGTCGTCTCCCTAAGTTATATAATTCTATCTGTTTCAATCCTTCCTTAGATATATGGTTTGATAGTCTTAACTGCTTCCATCACAAAATTACTACCATTTTTACTTCTATTAAGTGAATTTCTTATATTTTTAATTATTTTTAGACCTATATTTGAATTTAATGTTATATTACTTATATAAATTTTTTATGTACCAATTTTCATGTATCAATCCTGTTATGGGCGACACTGATCGCTGCTGGATGATGTTGAAATAAATAAAAATAATAAATAAATTGAGTCCAAGAAAAGGCTACTAAAGTGTTAGGTATGGTCTGTGTTGCTATATGGTAGCGAATCCTGGACAATAAGTGAAAAATGAAAAAGAAACTAGAAGCTATAGGAATGTGGTGTTAATAGGAAGATGATGAGAATTTCTTGGACTAAACTTATGAGGAATGGAGATGTGTTGAAATTAGTAATAAAGAAAGACAATTAATTATATTGATCATACAAAGGCAGTTAAGGTTCAAAGGGCATGAAATCCGTGAGGATGATCTATAAAACCTTGACAATAGAAGCTAGGAGAAGGCAAAGGAAAAAGTATTTAGATGAATTGATACTGTCATCTGGGCAAAGAGAATAGATCTCTTTCATGCCATCAATAATAGACAAGTTCAAAGATATGATTGCCTGAAAGAGGATATATACTGTAGCACATCCACATGGAGAGATCATCTTGAACATTCATAGAATGATGAATTATTTAAATATAAGACCACCAAAAAACAGCTGTTTTAATTATCTACTTTCACAAGTATCTTGTTTTTCACTCTCAATAGACTTAATCCATTTACAGTTGTATCCTGTTTATATTTATGTTTCTCACTTAATGCACATCATAAACTAAAACCAAATATTTAATTTTGTAGCTTGAAGAAAGGCAACGTCATGAAGAGAAGCATCGGAAGCAGACAAAAACTCAATGGGAAACCCAGTTCTTCTCTAAAAATGGCGATGGATGGCTGTACAAGAAGCCATTGAATTGAAATTGATCATTGCTTCCAAATTATTTTTTAGTCAATTTTTATTTCTTTGTAATAATTACTGCCTTATGCACATGGTTTTATGCGAATTATGCTAATTTTATGCAAATTAATATCCTAGTTTTGTAAATTATCCTCTCTTCCGTTAATTTTTCACACTCTCCAGTATATACAAGACTGAGTTACCTTTGTAAAGTTGACATGAAACTCCATCTTATGTATTTGTGAATTTCCAAATTATATGGGATGCCGTCGACAGTATCCTGTGTAAATTGTAGTGGGTACGATATTTTTGTTGCCATGTTCACCAAATATTAATTGCCAACATGTGAGATAGTACCATGTTCTAGGGCAGGGTTGAGCATAAAAATGAGTCGGAGGGCTGAAGGTAATTTTTTATTTAACTTTTAATACCAAAACTTCAACATTTCCAGTGCTCATGCACTGCTTTTATACCGCTTTATGCTCGAGCTGCAAAATCAAGGTGTTTTCTAGCCAAAGATGGTAGGTGGGTCACACATATTACCGTTGGGTCACTCTCATCTGTGTTTTAGGGATTTGATTGTCTTCAAGCTTTATTCTCTACTGCATAAGCCTTATTAAAGTATAGTAAAGGACAATATTATTCTGTTATCAGGAGACTAATTCCAAAGAAGTTAATAGCGTTGTAGTATAGCGGTAAAGGATTCAGCTTTTGAGTGTCATGTGCCCTGTTAAACCTACTAAAGATGCATATTGATTGTAAAGTACGAACATTTAGCAAGATTTGAATTAAACTTGTGTAAAGACAATGCCATGGTGATTTCTGTAGGAGTATCTTATGTTCTTAAAATTTAGCAAGTATCCAGTGTAAATTTTTGTTTCATATGAATTAGGGATTTACCTCAAAATGAGTTTATTTTTTTAATTCTACTATTGGCGAGTATAAGAAATAAGGAACCAAATCAACAACCAAATGATACAGTTAACAGGTTATTGAAGTAGTAACTCTTCCCCTTCAAGATATATCAGATCAGATATAAACTGATCATTTTACCAACATTAGTATCCCTTCTGAATCAGTAGATTGTACACACAATTCTTAAATCAAACAAAAAACTGTTCTTTGATTGTTAATTAAAATATTCTGTTTAATCACATGTTTATTACATTATCAAAATTGTATTTATTACGGAAATATGCTCTATAAACTAGATTTGTGTAAAATATTCTTTAGTGGTAATTACAAGATATTGTTATTGTACGACTCTTGGTCTCATTGAATGTTTTAAGAATACCTTTTTATAGAATGAGTTGACATGATGCATAATCAGAGTTAGTGGTTTTAATTCATTACAGATTTGTACTAGAAATAGTTTATGGTGCAAAGTTAATGTAGCAATAATTTATGAGGGAAATAATACTTTATTGCATAATTCCATAATTGCTGTTTTTTTTCATTGTTAATGATCAAACATTTAAGATCTACTGCATTTTTTTCCCTTTATTATAATACAGTATATAAGTTTTCTAGTTTAATATAATAATACTTAGTCATTTTTTTTACTGTGTACTTATCATTTAAAAATTGTTGCTAGCTTCACATAAAGCCTGTTAGTATGCCTTGGATACATATAGAGGTTTTAAATTTATTCATGCTGCCATCTTTGTGTATTACTGTTAGTTGAAATGAAAAGTGTAAAAACGTGGCTCCATGGTGAAAATAACTTTTATTCACAACTTTCTTACATTACTGTAAAATCAGTAGTGAACGTTCTTTGGGGGAATTCCTTTTACCTTTTGGCAGACCCCAGCTCTTGAGGTAATTAACAAATTAGTTTGGGCAAGGTGTATTAATTGTATTCTTTTAAGTAAAGTTTACTTTCATTTGAATCGAATGACCAGTTCTTCAATAATTTAGAGTACCACAGTTGTGTCGTCACAATGCCAGCTGTCGCCAACCAGACGTTGGTTACCATGCATTACGCCTGAATGACTTTATAGGCTTTTCTGGAATAGGCATTTTAAAATCTAATATTTTACCATCAAAATGTACTAAAACCACAAAAGCTTGCATTGTATTAGTTATCGAACACACATTTAATCATCAATTAAAATTTACAAAGAAAAACAATACATCTTAATAATTATGTTAGAATTTGGGATCAACGGAATAGTATCACTGGTATTGTGACATAACACTGTAGAACTCTATATTTATAAATATTATGGCAGTAGCAGTATTTGATAACAATGTATTCCGAAGTGATATTTAAGTATTTGTTTATTAAGCCATATATTGAGGTTTTAAGGATGTACAGTTTGTAAATGAAGTGTATTAAGATAAAGCAGATACAGAAAAAATTAAGCTGAATCTATATGTACATACAAAGAATTACTGTATAGTAATTTAGGCCAAAAATAATGTTTGTGTTGCCCAAGTCCGCTTAACCCAGAAACTTTCAAATTCTAGTTTTTTTTGTTTTTTGTTTTTTTGCAAGAATATTTCTACCAGGGAAAGCCAAAGAGACTTGTATAATTATTGCATTATTATATGCCAAGGCCAGAAAGAAAAATCTTGACCAAACAACCCTGAATTTTGAATGTCGCTTGGCAACACAATTTTTGTTTTGGCCAATTAATTATAATGGGTATAATGTACTGTATTGTGCAATAAAAAAAATATTATGGCACCCTCTTTAGTATTACTGTTTACAAATTGCGACTTAAAACTTCTGTAAATTTTATTGCATTCATCACAAACTATCGTGTTAAAACATAAAAAATTACTGTATAAAATATACAAAAGATAAAATTTATAATTTAATTAGTCTTCAAAAATACTTTAGTAAGAAAATAAGATTATCACACATGTTGACAGAATACATAATATATTCACATAATTCACACAATATAATACTGTACATAGTTACTTTTACTTAAACTCAATCCAACACCAAAAGACACACAGGTGGAATACTCTACATACAAAAGTGCCTGGCAGCCATAAGGAATGGGTCTCTCACTCGACAATGGATAACCAATCATAGGTTGGCTTGATTGACAGATCATTCTGATTGGATGTTATTGTATGTATGGATAGGATTAGGTCAATAATATCCAATCGGAATTAAGAATTGGATTATGGCTGGTGTAACAATAGCCACTGCCTTTGCACAATGAAAATCATAACAGGTAGGGGGTGGGGACGGATCCAAGTACGCCAGAGGCTCCATACGAAGGTGCCTCAAAGAGCCTAAGGACAGAGGTTGTGCTTTTGTTTGTGATAAAAAAGGAATATTTCTCAATCCAACAATGGGGGCTCTATGCTTGTCTGAAGGGGAAATTTCCCAACCCCTAGTACCACCACTGTATATGGAAGGATTATCTTATATTGCAAAAAAACTAAAACTAAGTCTCAAAGAAACAACAAAGGCAGTGCAGCTAATTAAATATAAACATGTATTAACACTACTTTTAAAAAAATGTCAACACAATATAAACATGCCATCACTACTCATTACGAGGAGCAACAAACACTATTACAGATGTACCATTATAGTCAGAAGGCATCATTAACAACCAAATGCTTCCTTGTAGCTCACCCAGGAAAACCTACACTACTTTCTAATTAAAAACATGTTTTAAAAATTAATACAGTATATTAAATTGTTATAAAAAAGGATTCAGCGTCTTTTTTAAAAGTGACTGCTTCGAAGCTTCTTCAGGTGTCTTGTTGTCAACACTTGTGATGCTTCCATCCTGACTGCTGGCATCACCAAAGGCAGCAAATGGATGATTACTGCCATCCTGAATGCCACCATCATTGGATGCAGCAAATGGATGAGTAGAAATGGTGCCATGAGGCTCTACACCTTGGAATGTAAAACTTGAATTAATCAAGTCTTCTTCATCTATAATTGGAAATTCAGATGCTGGTCGTTGTTCGTTGACTACAAGGCTATTCTCTGCTCGTGGTGAGGGTGATTCTGACATCTCTCGTAGTTCAAGGTCATTACCATGTAAATCTGGTGTGCTTTTGAAGTTTGTCTTGCGACTGGACTTTTTCAGGAAGCTAAATTTTGGCTAGAGAAATACAGAAGAAAACTGTCAAAGTGAAATGCACAGGACATTTTTATAGACAGATGTTTTGTGTTCTGAACTTAAAACAGATATAAATAATCTTGTAGTAGCAAACTTTATAGCGAGTAGTATAGCATATTTAAATAAAACGTTTTCGGTTTTGGTCTCTCAACCTTGAGGTAGGAGGTTTTTAACCTTCGCTGTGAATTTTGCTTGTGTTTTGTCCCAAGGCACACATGTTTGTCTCCTTCCACCCAGGAGTATAAATGAGTACCTGGTAGGATGATGTGGCATTGAATGTATTAGTCTGTATACGACTAGGCATACTCCCCAGGGAGTGGAGGTCGCTCTGTGATTGATATGGATCCAATGGCCAGTGGTAATAATAATATCAGATGTTAAATCCACTTTTAATTGCATCTTCTATGTTTTCTTTTATTTAATTAATTTCAAAAATATAAATCAGTTTTATTTAAGATAGCACCCAATACAAGCTAAGCTTACTGGGACTTTACTACATTGTTAGAAATTGTACAGTGTCGAACATGTACTGTAGATTATTGTACCATTCCACTAAATTTTATAATGATAGATTCATTAGGTTTTGCGTAATCTTGCTAACAAACAGACAGCTGTGAATACATAACCTCCTTGGTGGAGGTAAGTAAGGATTGATTTCAGGCTCAACATAAATGCTTGTTGTTTACCTGTCACTTAATGTTCCTTACTGTATTTCAATGTTTACATTATATTTGAATTATGTGTATAGAATTATATTATATATTTTGTCGTCGTGAGCCCCTCAACATTAAATTAATTTTACTTTTGGGCAATCCTGCCACATGGCAACAACAACTATTTTTATATATTATGGCGCAAAAAAAATGAAATAAAATATGGTATTGAAATTTCAATACCATACATAAGTAGAAACCAAATGAAGTTATTTGATCATTAATGTTCCCTGTTGTTCATTGTACTGATTAGCTAAATTTAGTAAATTTATACTAACTTTGAAATTGTTTGCAATGCATCTACACGGTCTCTAATCATTTTAAATGCTTTGATTACTGCTACGGCTTCACTGCATGTGCAAGCTGGCATTCTCTGAAGATAAAAAAATTATTAGTGGAGGCCTTTTTTATACCTTGATTAGTGAAATTTTAAAGATCGTCAGACAAGCTTTCTTATTTAGTAAATTTTTTTGCCAAAAGCATCCAGTTGGAGGAGAAAATTTTAAAAATTTGGTAAGTGAAACAATGCAGTAATGGGACTTAAATGCTTTAAATTTATATACTTTAGAATAAAATATCTCTTATATTTGGCAGATTTCAAGGTGGCAGGAGTAATAAACATTATTTTTTTTCTGAAATTTCCATTTTTTGTGGCAACGGGTGTGCTAACTGGCCAAAATAAAATGTAATTTTTATTCAAAATCATCATTACTGGCGGGCGGCGAGTTCGCTAAACAAGGTAAAAGAAGTCTCGCCTTGTGATTCTTAAATACCTAATGTTAAGGATGAGTAAAATATATTTGAAATTTTGAATATTTCTCATCAAAAATAGATAATTTTAAGCATTACACTTGATATTTAAGATAGAATGGAAACGTGTCTACTATTTAATAGATCACATGTGTCTATTTTAGGCATGATGTACTTGAGAGTCTGGCTATTTCAAAATGAAGCATGTTTCTATTTTACCTGGATTAGTGTTACAGGGATTGCCATATACCATACAGTATAGTAGTGTAATCTTACCCTCACAATGTGATTCAGACACAATGCTTTTGTAGTGCAGTCATCAATAAGGCTGATCAGCTTACCAGTCTAAATATAAATGTAGCAAAAAACAAAACTATGCTGTTATTATGTTAACATTAAATATCAATTTGTTTTTCATTTTATCATTTATGTTCTAATTAAAATATCTTTATCAATAAGGTTGTTTATTCAAGAAGTGACAAAAACTGTAAAATCACATGGTAAATAAAACTGAAAGTATTATTATACAACATTTAATGTTATATTAAATTTCCATCCACACCACCAGAGAATCATCACCTTTACCAAGAAAATATAATTCATTAATTTATAACAATTTAAAATGATAAATATTCAGGCATTGTAATTGGTTTTCTTCAAAATGCTATAAGTATAATGTTGCTTACCTCACTCGCATGGAAATAACCTTTATAGCCAACAATTAATCGGTGTTTTCTATACGGCATGTCTGCCTGTAAAAAGATGGTTGAATTAACTGAATAGTGTCATAACATTATTTCATTATTTGGTTTGAATGATACTAAATTCATCGTGGCCGAAACAGATGGCAGTACTCTTCTTACTAAAAACTAGTAGTAGTCTAGGCCTAGAGCTCATCTTCCAATGGCGGGCCAACTTCACAGTTGAAGACTTCGGCCCGAGATGGATGTGGATTACTACTCTGAGCTTTTCCCCATTGCTTTAAATATGTATTGTCCCATGCTAAATACCCAAAAAATCATAAAAAATTTTTTTGAAATTAACTTGCCCATTTTGAAGTAACATAAAAGTTATCAACTTGAACATAGAAATTGGTGTATTTAAAAAATGTCTACCCATCAGTTTACAGTGAAAAATGATAGAAACAATTCCAGTCACTGGAAGTGTTTCATTATTTTTATTATAATTATACCATTTAAAAATCAGGGTACACATTTTTTTAATTCAATAATTTCTATACACAAGTTAATAATTTGTATGTTATTGCAAAATTAGCAAGGTATAAAGTAAAAAAAAAACAAGGAAAACCAATATAATTTTATTGGAGTGGAAAAATATGAAGTGGGAGGAAAAAACAACAAAAACCAAATTCACTGCGACGTTATTAGTGAGAATTGAACTATGGCTGCAATGGTAATAGCGAGGTACATCGTGACCCATAACTATTGCACGCTACATGGGCCGACCTTGAATAGGAAAGTGCATTTTCAGTTCATAGCGATTCAATGACTGAAAGCAAAAATTGTTCTTGCATATCACAGTAGTTTTAAGTTTAATCTAGCTGTAACTGGTTTAAGCGATTTAGAAAACGCAAATTGCATTTAAATAAGTTAATCAACTGTCAAAAAAATCCTTAAATGGTCCTCATACCCACACCCTACTGCAGATCGTTACCAAAATTGGATCATTTCTTCATTTCACCATGAAAAACAATTCTGCAAAGTGTCATTTTTATCCATCTATAACTGGGATACAGTATAAGGAATTCAAATGACCCTCAAATTTACACCTAACCTGATCGTTCCCTACACATAATAATATCTTCCTTGTAACTTGGGTTAAACTTTCTCGACAGTTTTATTCGGATCAGTTGACCCGTTTTTGAAATATCTGGTCTGGGACGTTTTCCTTTAAATGGTCCTCATATTCACACCCTATGCTGGATCATCACAAAAATTCAGTCATTTCTTTACTGGACCTTTACAAACTATTATAGAAAGTTACATTTACACCCATTGAAAACTTATTATAGATATTTACGTTTGGGATCTCAAAAATTTAAATGACCTCCAATATACACCCTTGACTGATTTGTCACCAACACATAATACTATCTTCCTTGTAATTTGGTTAAACTTTTGCCAAATGTTTCATTCAGATCAGTTGATCAGTTTTCAAAATATGTGGTCTGGGACTTTTTCCTTTAAATGGTCCTCAAATCCACACCATACTGCAGATCGTAATAAAAATTTAATCACTTTTTTACAAGACTTTTACAAAGTACTATAGAATGTTTCATTTAGAATTAGACCCATTGGTTTTTTTTAAAGAGTTATTTAGGTCTGGGTCCTCAAAAATTGAAAAGACCCTCAAATTTACACCCTTCACTGGATCGTCACTAACACATAAAAATTTCTTCCTTGTAACTAGATTAAACTTTCCTGTAAGTTTCATTCAGATCAACTGACCGGTTTTTGAAATATTCGGTGTAGATTGTTTGACCTTAAATCAATTAAATTGGTCCTCACACGCACACACCCCACCATAGATTGACACTAAATATTAGGAGGCACATCCTTGATATATGGCCTATGCTTCAGCAAAGCACGGAAAATTTTTTTGTCAATTTTTGTTGAATCTGAAGTTTTGAAAATGTATATTTATTGTATTGTTTCCTTATTGTTCTATTATTATTCTGTAATTTTAGTATTCTCATTTAGGGACAACATTGGAAATAAGTTGCTTTTTGTACTTTTCTGTGTTTTTATCCTTGAATGTTTTTACTTATAATTACTTCAAAATTAATAAATAAATAAAAAATAAAAAAGCATGGGAAGTGACCAAAAAAGTGACGGCCAGAAAAAAACAGTGCAAAAAGATAGGAAAATATATGCACAAAAAAAAATCAGAACAAAAACAATGGCACCTATCCCAGTACTACTACTACTGGGAAAAGCCAATAAACTTAAATACTAAAAAAAACAAAAACTCTTGGCCTGTATAATTATTATATATATATATATTTTTATATAATTATTATATATATAGTATTATAATAATACTGCCTTAGCTACGTAACCTTGTTCTAGATTCGCGGTCGCACCTTCGGCGCTCGATACACCGCAACCGAAATGATCGAATACAGTATTACAACCTAGGGGCCTAGCCTAAGGCTAGAGCCCTAGCTAGGGCCTACGTACGACGACTATATAGGGTAGTCACACACCAGCTAGGCCTACTTTACTACTACTAGGCTGGGCCTAGGCTCTAGCCTAGCTGGTAGCAGTAGGTAGGGACAGGGTAGGCCTAGTTAGTACCTTACTAGTAATAGCCTAACCCTAGAGGGTAGGCCTAGGGGCCTAGTATGTTTTTGCTCACCAATTTTACTTGTTCACACAGACTTTCAAAATCCGTCATCATAACTAAGTTGGTCATTGTTTACTGTTGCGCGGCAGAGAGTACGTACCTCGGTTGTACATGGCTCTTCCATTTTTGGCATGGGGAATTGTTTTTAGTAGCAACATTGTGTCATTTTACGTCAAATTATGACAATTTGTGTCAACTGATGGTAGTTCGCGTCAACCTATGGTAATTCGCGTCAACTTATGCTATTTCGCGTCCAGCAGGTTATGCTACCTAGTAAACTTTGGTGGCGCCCTACGCTATGGTTCGATAGTTCCTAGAGAAGAAAAGGGTGAAATCTGGGGAATACCCGTTGCGCAGTGACCTACACAGTAATTCATTCACATGTGTGACCATAATTTTATTACAAAACACACGAAACTATTGGAGTGTGCGCTAGGCCTACCACCACTACTACTAGACTACTAGTTACTGGCGTCCTACTACTAAATACATTTATTTTGCGAAAGTGTGGTGTCTTGACACGGCTTGTAAGTTCTGTTTATTTTACTTTTTTGATATGAAAATGCTATTTAATTTTAATAAATTATAATAAAGTGGCCTGGGCTAGGGCCTAGATTAGATAGGTCAAGGTTAGGTAGGAGGGCCTACTATTCTAGCCTAGTTAGTTTAGCTACTACTAGTAGTACTAGTAGCAGTTTCGAACTGTCTTGACTGAAAATGATGCAAGGAAATTGCAAGCTGACTTTACATAATTTGTCTACCATGGTGTCATGACTGGTTGATGCTTTTTAATGTATTCAAGTGCAAAGTACTTAGGTCACTTGGGCCTAGGCCTAGGTCATAATAATCCTAATTTTAATTATGAGTTAGAAGACATTGTTCTTGAAGAAGTTGAGGAGGACCTAGGCCTAGGTGTTATTATTGATAAATCTTTGAAACCCAGCAAACAGTGTGTTGCTGCTGTCAAAACTGCAAATCGGGTACTCAGCAGTATAAAAAGGTCCTTTGAATATAAATCAGTTGCAAACATTAGGTGTCTGTATATCGGATTAGTTCGTCCACACCTTGAATTTTCAATCCAGGCTTGGTCACAGCAATTAAGGAAAGATATAAATTTATTAGAAAAGGTCCAAAGACGGGTAACTAAAATTCCTAAATGTATGAAAAATGTAAATTATAAGGAATGTCTCATAGCCTTTAATTTAACTACTTTAGAAATAAGAAGAATTTGTGGGGACTTAATTGAGACATATAAAATATTAAATGGAAAAGAGGATGTTGATAGGGATCTGTTTTTTCGATTTGGCAATTGATTCCATTACTAGAGGTCATGGTTGGAAGTTCAAAAAGCCTTATGCTCGACTAAATTGTAGGAAGCACTATTTTTCCCAAAGGGTGGTAAACAAATGGAATGCTCTTCCTGTCCACATCATGGAAGCTGAAAGTACCATGTTTAAGAGAAGATACCAGAAGACAAGGGGGGGGGGCTATTAAAGGGTCGGAAACGGCCCGCCAGCCCTCAGCGCCACTTAAATAACTTAGTGGCATTACGGTGAGTTACGGTGAGTAGTAGGGCATGAATCGCCACCCACTGACCCCATACTACCGTATTACAGACATGCTTAATTCAGAGAGCTAGCTCTCTACTAACTTCCTTGTGTAGTGTACCATTTTGATATTATTTATATATTTGATGTTTACTGCTTTTATATTGTGACTCCCCAATCTTTTTACTATTGAAATTTGGTTTTTATTGTTATTATTATTATTATTATTAGTATTAGTATTATTATTATTAATGTTGTTGTTCTTTCAAATTTTTACTACGCCCTGGCTTAGACTCTCTAGGCCTAGTAGCCTAGTAGTATTTTATTTAGCCATTTTGGCAATTACCATACAGTATGTCATTCTGGAAGTGTTGCTGTTTTGGTTTATTGCTGTTGTGACTTATTGCCGTTTTGACGTATTGTCGTTTTGGTTTTTTGCCGTTTTGACCTGTTCCCATACTAATCAATGGTAACCGGTAAACCAGTAGTAAACCAGTAAATTGTAAAATGCTTTTTTTTATATATATAAAAGAAGTAAAAGAAACCTTTGTAAAGTATTTCTGCCATTTATATTCCCACCTCTTCTTAGGCTTGACATCATTCTTTCATTATTTTTATAGTCCATGGAAAAATGAATGTTTTTTGAAAAATAGCAAATATTAAATTTTTTCATGATACCCCAAAATTTGATGAGGGCAGGGATGTGAAAATAGCAATTACAGGTAATTTTATTTGGCTTTAAGATTTGGTCAAAACCTAATTTTCTTTAAAATCGGCACAGAAATGGGCCCTTATTTTCCAAAATATGTGGACAGATTTTTAGGCCAAATTTTTGTGCAAAGGATATATTCCCAGCACAGGCCTTACTATACAGTCTGGGCCTTGGCCACAGGGGCGACCCAAACCGCTGAATCTGACAGGGTTTTCCCACTTGCCTCACTACAGTATGCTCTATCCGGACTAACTGTAGGATAGTAGGCCCAAAGAAGCCTTAGCCTGGGCCTCAGTCTTCATTATGCCACTGACACCACATCGTTCTTAATGAGACAATGTTTTTCAGAGCATCAAGGAACATGTTTTTATCTGAACAGTGACAGAGATTGCTAAACACTATTGGAATTCAGAAACTCTTTTCATTTATTTGGCTGTCAGACGAATAGTATTCATTAAAAAACTTTACCCATGGCTTTCCATAATTGTTATTCTGCACATATGAACTCATTCATTTAATATATATATATATAATGAAACACCTGAAAAAAGAAATATAAGAAAGATATATGCAAGACCTTCAAAAAGCAGAAGCTCAAAATCACCATAGAAGCCAACAAGAAAATAGTAGACTATCTGGACATCACCCTCGACCTAAACGCTGAAACATTCAAACCATACATGAAACCAAACAATACCCAACTGTATGTACAACCACCCACCACCTATAACGCGCAACATACCGGAAGCCATCAACAAACGGCTCCCAAGATATCATCTAATGAAACTGTTTTTAATGAAGCCGTACCACTGTACCAAGAGGCACTTGCAAACACCGGATATGAATACAAAATAAAGTTTGAACCAACAGCTAACGACAAACAGCGAAAACGAAATAGACAGAGAAACTTAATCTGGTTCAACCCACCCTACAGTGACAACGTATCAACTAATATAGGGCGCAAATTCTTCAAAATCATCGACACATCCTTCCCACCCGGCCACCAACTCCGGAAAATATACTGTAATACTGTAAAAATTAGTTACAGTTGCACGCCTAGCATAAAACAAATAATATCTAGCCATAATGAGATACTACTTAACAACGAAACTAAGGAACAAGAAGCAAAAAATTGTAATTGCAATAAGAACAGAGTATGCCCACTAGAAGGCGAATGTCTAACAAAAGGGATTGTATACCAGGCAACAGTTACAAGGCACGACAACAAAACGGATGAAACCTACGTTGGACTAATACTGAACATACATATAAAACCAGATCCAATGGACACAACAGCAATTTTAGAAATAAAACTCAGAAAAATGCTCTAAGCCAGTATATGTACACTAAAAGATAAGTCTATATTGTATTCCATTAAGTGGAGAATCCTAGCCAAATGTACACCTTACTCCACAGCTACTAAGAAATGTAATTTATGCATATTGGAAAAATATTTCATAATCTGTAAGCTAGAATTAAGCACACTTAACCCCAGAAATGAACTGAATGTAGGTAAAAATGGCCCCGGTAAAAATGGCCCAGGAAATAATGGCCCCCGTAAAAATGGCCGCATTAAAAATGGCCCCAAATGACAAGTAAGTAAAAATGGCCCAATGAAAAAAATTCAGTAATAAAAATGATTTTTTTTTTTTTAATCTTCAAATATTTAAATACTGTAATAAGCAAGAATTGAATCAATAAATAAAAAATGACCCTCAATTATAAAATAAAAAAAAAAAATGGTGAAATTCGTAAATATATAAATAAGTTGTATTTTTTCCTTTGAAAATAAGATCAATTTATGTGTTGTTTTTTTTTATTTCTCTAAAAGTATTTGTTTCTTAACAAATACAGTTACACAACAGATGCAAATGAATTACTGAGAGATTATCGGAAAGCAATGGCCATTGAATAACATTTTTTGATAGAAATAAAAGTTTTAAAAACGTTGTTCCACTAACAAAGTAGAGGAATGACATACATACAGTAAATCAAAATTTATTGGGGGAGAGCCCCCGGACCTCCCCTTTTTTGGGGAGGATTTATCGATTCATGGAAAAATGAATACATATGCAACTACTCAATTTTTTTATGTATGGGCTACACACATAAAATAAGAATGAGAAAAATTTACCTGATCGTTTTCAAGAGGAGAAAACCTTGAATTTTGAAGGTCTTAAAAGTCTAAAAGACATTTTAGAAGTCGGGATAGCTCATTTCCCGACATCCAGAAATCGAAGTTTTCCCCGGGGACAACCGGAATTCGCCTTTCTCTTTGGGGTTCATTGATTCATGAAATTGTTTTCAAGAAGGGGGAAACCTTGAATTTTGAAGGACTTAAAAGTCATTAAAAAACACCTCAGAAGTCGGGAAATCTCATATCCTGCCATCTAGGAATTAAAATTTTCTCGTTGGAGAGCCCCGGACCCCCCCCCCTCCTTTTAGGGGATTTATCGATTCATGGGAAAAAGAATATGTATGCAACTACTCAATTTTTTGTATGTATGTATTTATAGGCTACACACATTAAAGATGTAAAGGTAGACTTATACATTGGAATGCAAAGTATCTAAGTTTAAATTTGTTATTTTTCATTTTGTTCTATGGAGCGAGTACATTGATTGTTTGGGCTTTCGCCTATTCTCGCATCCTGGCTAAATTGTTCTTTTATGCCGAATAAATATTATTATTATTATTAATATTATTATTATAATTATTATTATTATTATTATTATTATTATTATTATTATTATTATTATTATTATTATTATTATTATTATAAAATAAGAATGAGAATTAATTTACCTGACTGTTTTCAAGAGGGGAAAACCTGGCAAATTATTTATTTGTGGTCTTTGACTTTTATTTTTTTCAATGTGTTGTTTGTTATCTTACTGAATTTTATTTTTGTAGTGTTAGTTAAAAGGAAAGAGTACAAATTTGTTTTGGTGAGGCTAATTGCCATTCTCTTTCCTGGCAAATTGTATTTTTCTTGAATGCCAAATAAATATTATTATTATTAAATAGGCCTATCAATAAAATTTATATTTAAAAGTATAAATGTACAAAATCATCAATGAAATCGATCAACTAATATAAGACTAATTAGAGGCTGCAGGCATCGTTCTCCATTGATAATTGATTGGATTATTGATGAACACTTCTTATCTATTTATTCATAAAATCAAGAATCTTACTGTGAATAAAACATTATCAACCTGCTGTTCTCTCTTTGAATAGTAATCATTTCAGACTCATAAGATGCAGCAACATGCTTGATAAACTTAAAAATGCACAACCTTTTGTATTGCCAGCAGATCACATTTTTATTGCTGGCATGTTAACAGCATGATTGTAATACATTTTCATTGTAATGAACGGCTATAATGTTCAAAACAAACAAATTCAAAAGAAATCGGTATATGAATTCAAAACAGAAATTAGTGATTATGAATTCAAAATGGATTTTAGTGGTCCAATATTCTTCAAGTTTTGGACTAATTTTTACATTGTGTGGAAGACAGTGTGCATAATCCATGGAAAGAAAACAAAGCAGCTAGCTGCCTACTATTTTGGGATGTCATTTCATACAGATTCAACATGGTGAAAAAAAAATGGCCCCGGTAAAAATGGCCTCAAATGACAGGTAGGTAAAAATGGCCTCCAATAATAAAATTCTGTATTAAAACTGATTTAAAAAAAATCCTTATATGCATTTTTATAAAACTGAAATAATTTTGTTTTTAAAAAGAATCTAACATCAAATATATTGCCATTTATATTTTACTTTTTGCAGGAATTACATATTCAAAGATAAAAAAATAAGCCATTAATAACACTTTTTATTTTTTTTAAATTTAAATATTAAAAAATAGCAACAATTTAATCAATAAATCAACATAAATCATGCATTATTCATACTAAAATAATTTATTTGTGGCCAATTTCACGGAAGCGGAAACACAATTTTCCAGAAATTCAATCCGGGTGTTGCTAAACCCTGCAAAAATGGGTTGAAATTATTCTTTTTTCTTTTTGAAAGAAAAAGAGAGTTTTACAATCATAATTAAAGGGTTTGGATGGGGTTCGCAGTGTATTTTTGGAGGTTTGTTGTGTATTGGCAAGTATTTTTTTTTTTAGCATTTTAGTTTTATCGTTGATTAAATCCATGACATTGTTGTTTAAAATTGCAGCTTTGTAGTTTTTACTCAGAGGCTAGGAACTGTCAACTGTGGTTTTTAAACTCTAAATGTATCACTGTATTTGTTACCTTACTTTTCTTATTATGGTATCAAACATAGTGATGCATTTGTTACCTTAATATATGTTGTTGCTTTAATAGTAACAAATGCATCACTGCACAGTTAGTGGCAGTTATTGTTGCTGAGTATTCTTATTACATTCAAAATCCCCGATGCTTGTATGTGTGTTAATGTATTAGACACAAAGGAGATCTTTTTCGCTATCGCTTCCTGTTTCTCTTCTATCCCTTAAATCGTTTAAAATTGGGGCTTTACTCGAGTACAAAGAACAACATGGACTCTTTCCACAATGCATCACTTTATTCCTTTAGTATCATTTCCCTAGCCAAAGATGCAATTTTTTGCTTTATTCTTTTGCCTCATTTTGCTTCTTTTGTTTATTTTAGATAACAATTATTTTCACATACATTTTACTCTTGCCATATAAGTTCTAATATAACACCTGAGTTTAGTAGTATTGTGCTGTGGTTTGGTTTTGGGTCTTTTTGTGATTATTTATTGTTAACAGAGCTGCAACTGATTACACATCCTTTCAGATTGTTTGCTTAACTGGTTGCAATATTTATAACATCTGTGAAAAACATCTTGTGATCCACTTGTGATACCAGTGCTATGTCACTAGAAGTGTTAACACACAAAAGACAGAAATAAAAAAATAAAAATGATTTGGTTGAATCCAGGGTTTCCCGGGGTTCTATTCTCGCCCCTCTTCTTTTTAATCTTTTCATTAATGATCTCCCTGGCTCTCTAACTTCTAATTGTCTTCTATGCTGACGATCTAAATCATTATTAAATTGTCTCTACTCATAATGATGCAAGTTTATTACAGGAAGATCTGGATAGGTTAGAGCAATGGTCCTCAACATAGGTCATGTTTCTTAGTTTAAAGTAAGTGCAAGACACTAACAATTACTATTAAAAAGAATAAAATTGTATTTCCATACCATTGAAGGATCATGTTTTATACTATGTTGATGCCCACAATGATTTAAGAGTAATTTTAGATAATAAGTTGAATTTAATATTAACATCTTAAACATATTTGTAGTAAAGCTAATAGAATGCTGGATTTAATCAAACATAATGGTTGGAAGATTAGAAATAAAAGTGCATTATTTGAATTATATTTTTTATTAGTTAGACCACATCTTGAAATGGATAGCATTTTATATACTGTAGTGGAGTGTGCAATACTCAAACTAATTAGAAGTTACTCAGCGTAGATTCTTAAGGTTTGCATACAAGCTATGTTATGTTCCCAAGTATAGTTTATTTGGACTCTATCAAATCTAGGAGGTGTCGTAAGTCCGATTTTTCTCTTTTTCATATTTCTATTTCTAGAGTTAATGTCTCTAATATTGGTTTTAACATCAGGCTTCCTTCCTATTTCTTAGAATACTCCCAGCATTATAATAATAATGCAGTTGTATATTCTTACCAATTATTACACAATGCAATGAAAACATGTGTAGCAATGATCTACACAATGCTGAAGTCATCAGGAATAATGTCATGTTTTTAATCTTCGATTAATGAACGAATTACCAGCAGCCCCAAATTCAAAGAATGCGCATCCGGGAGTTTTGTTTATATGACCTTTCTTAACTCCTCTAATATATTCTGCTGTGGATGGTGATACTCATTGGCACTGACATCCAGGAAACAATTGATAATACAGTATTAAAAATTGGTAAAAAAATTTTTGAGAGATAGGATATTTTTTGGGAGATTCTTGCTTGTTAGCGGGAGTGCAGAAGGCCTTCCCAATTTCCGGGAGTCTCCTGCAACTTCCGGGCAGACTTGAGAATTACTGAATTACTTTAAATACATTTTTTTTATTTACTTTTTCTCCTACATAATTGCATTTTGTCTATATGTAAGTTTTTTGTCTTCTGTCCACTTCCATGAACTGTGTGAATAATTAAATATGAATCTGAATAAAGTGTCAATTATACAACATGAGAATGATCAAATCAAGATATGTTAAAACTCAGATAAATATATTTGGAGTGGAGTTGAATAGCTCAGTGGTTAAGATGCTTCCCTTCTGATCCCAGGATCCTGGGTTCAATTCCTGTCACAGCAGAAATTTTGCTCACAACTAAAGACACTCCACTCCCAAGCCTCATAAAGAGGCTCGAGTTTATAAAGCATAATTTTCATCCTGTTTGTAACCTCTACAGTGGTTATACCTTCTGCAAGTGTCAAAGCTGTCTCTTATACACATCTAGATGTGTATAAGAGAGGTGTACTGAATAGTGTAAAACTGTTTTCAAATTTAATAATGAAAACACAATAAAGTTCCTGTATCGCTATCTGAAATAGCAGATTTGGGTAATCTTTCGTTTTACATACATTATTTATCTATTGTGCAGGCTACTGTAGTATATTTATAGTAAAATTTAAAGACGATCAAGGTCACATTTTCACAGGACTTCTACCCTATATTTAGAATTGAAAGCGCAAGCTGACACCAGGTTGGCCGATTATACTTTACTGTAAACACTTAAATGACTGATTGCAATGGAGGATATCGAATCAGTGGAATAATGGAAACTGCAATATGCCAAACTACAGTATATATAAGTTTATTATAAGTATTTTATAAGGTCGAATTATCACATTTTCATTTTGCCAGTTAATTATTTTGACATTAATTTTGAAATAACTATGCTACTGTACTTTAAAATAACAAACTCGCTGTATTTTATGCAGGAAATCTAGGCTAAGGTGAGACTTTTTTTATACCTTGTTTCGTGAACTTGTTTTTTAAAGTTATTCAGAGGAGGATGGAAAAAAAAATAAAAATAAAATTTTATTTTCTTATTAGCAAATAGTTTTGCCAAAAACATCCAAATGGAGGAAAAAATATAAATACAATTTTAATGGTGAATGTAAACAGTGTAGTAATGGGATGGTTAAATGCTTTAAAATGTATAATTAGGAAGAAATATACATCTTATTTTTGGAGATTTCAAGGCAGCAGCGGGCGAAAATAAAACTATTTTTTTCTGAAATTTCCATTTATGTGTGGCGGCGGGTGGCCAAAAAATAAAATATTATTTTATTTGAGATAATTGTTGACGGGCGAGGATCTACTGTACTCAGTTTGAGAAGTCATGTCTAGGGAGTGTCTCACATGGCTATTCAGTGAAGACCAATAATTTCATTCCAGTAATATTTATTTTGTATAGTACCACCAGGCACCCAGTTACCTCCTTGCACTAAGGACTCAACCAGCTTGCCTTAAACCCGAAGCCATACCTCTCTGCATGCTTCCACAAGTAAAGTGTGTGTCTGATATTTAATTCCCAAAAGCTCACATTTGCTCATTACGTATTATTTTCATTTTCTTCTCAGGTATTTATAAAAAAAAACACTAAATCATGTCAGATGATGAAGATGTTCTGTTTGATGTTGGAAATAAAAATTTTAGTAATGTTGGTTTGATTAACAAGAAAGCAAAAAATGTAACTGATGTCTTAGTAGCACAAGAGGAGGACAGAAGACTGAAGAAAACAATATTTCTCTGTGGGGCATTTGCATCTGTAGTGAGTCTAATTATAATTAAACTTTATAATTAACTTTTCATTTTCAACTTGAAACTATAAGTGCTATTGGTTTGACCTGTTTTCCTTTCAATGCCAAATTTATTTTACACTTTGTAAATGTGTATTTTTATTTTTTTTTTAGTCTATTTTACTTTTAAAACCATTGTTTTTATTTCTATTTAACTTCTTTAAAAATTTCAAGTTGAGTCATATAAATGTGACATTTATTAAATGTTAAGTTGCTAATGTAGATAAAATGCTAATATAGATAAAACTTGTTTCGTGAATCTGTTTTATTAATCATTTTATATATATTGCCATACTTTTTATTTATTTTTTATATCTAAGGATTGCCTTTATTTATTAGTTACAGTAACCTTCCCTATATAACAGCTCTCCTCTTGTCAAAATTATCATACTGTTATCAACTTTGCTTCCATTATAGGGTCTTTGTATTTCAGTTCTTGGTCCAACGATACGATTTTTGGAAATCCAGACTAATAGTGATCCCTCCCACCTGTCGTATGTGTTCCTTGGCAGGGGTTTTGGGTATGTGCTCGGATCAATCCAGACTGGATGTCTGTTTGAGGTGCTGAACCCCCTGACGTACTTGGGAATTTCCCTTGCAACTTGTGCTGTCAGTATGAGTCTGGTTCCGTCTGCACCTGATGTAGGCATGCTCATGTTCTTGTTTGTGTTTATTGGAATCACCATGGGGTCGTTGGACACTGGTAAGTTATTAGTTTTGTTTTGAAGCCTAATCTGCAATTGCATCATAGTTAAATTAACTAAGGAATGTAAGTTGAGTTGGGAACTACAATTTTATATGGCTATGTTACAAACTAATGATATTATACTGTAATTCTGACCAAGCATTTAGATCCAAAAACACCAATTGAAGACTGGCAGTTCTGGATGAATTTTCAACAAGCGTTAAAGGATAAATATGAGTCACTTTTATCCTTCCTTAGTGTAAAGCTAGATTTACGCTAGACACGATAACGACACGACAACGACATATTATCACGTAGTTTGTATTCTTAAACACTGCACACATTGGTATTGTGTCGTTGTTGTGTCCTAATCGTGTCTAGTGTAAATGTAACTTAAAGTCAGGCTCCGGAGGGAAAAAAATTGTTGATATGTTGTAGAACTGATTTTTTTTTAAAACAGAAAAAAGTATTTTGATCAAAAACTGAGCAACGGTGAATGAACAAAAAAAACAAAAAAGATTTTTCTCCTCCGGAGTCTTGACTTCACACCCTACTGTACATCGGATTTCAAAATATCAATTTGTATTATTAATAATTATTATGCAGAGACACTGTGAGCTAATATCACAACACAGTACTACCAAACTTTGCTTGCACTTAAGTTGGGCTCTCTTATTTGCCAGTTTATTGAATGATTGATCGAAAATCATTTGCTGTACCATGATCATTAAATTTTCACCTTTTGAAAGAATTTAAGCATTTGTTTTTGTTTACATTACAGGGGCCAATGTCTTGTGCTTGCAGTTATGGGGGAAAAGATCACCTCCTTTCATGCAGGCATTACACTTCAGTTTTGCAGTGGGAGCATTAGTTGCTCCTTTGCTGGCCAAGCCATACTTTGACTCAGCATTGTCTACACCCAACGTTAATATAAGGGTCAAATATTCTGATGAAGTCAATGTAACTTATACTAATATTACAACACCTCCGGTAAGCTCTTCAGTGGTTATATCTTCTATAAGTGCCGAAGTATCTGAAGCTCCAACAAATACTACAACACCTCTGGTAACCTCTACAGTGGTTATACCTTCTGCAAGTGTCAAAGTATCTGAAAATCCAACGAGTACTGCAGCACCTCTTACAAGTACCCAAGTAACTGAAGCTTCCAACATTACAACATCACTTCCTCACTTTACAGATTGTGGTAATGAAACTAATTGTACTGCAGAGGATGCCATACCACCAAGGGGATCTAATCAGACATATGATTCTAGGAAAATTGCTTACACCTATTACATTATTGCTGTATTCGTTGCCATCAATAGCTTTGCATTCTTTTATTTTTCTTTAACCTCTCCAAAGAAAATGAAACCCTCTCTACTTCAGAAATCATTGCATGCATCTGACAATATTGTTTGCAGCCATTTCAATATGCAGATGCTGTCTATTATGTTTCTTTTTTACTTCCTCTATGTTGGAGCAGAAGTGGCATTTGGAAGTTTTATCTTTTCATATGCAGTTGATAGTGACGTGCAGATGAATGAAGAAGACGCGTCTATGTTGAACTCTGTGTTCTGGATCAGCTTTGCTATGTCACGTGGCTTTGCAATCTGTTGTGCAGGATACATTCCCCCTTTTTACATACTTTTAGCTGACATGGTAGGTTGTCTGATAGCATCATTTTCCCTTGTATTTTTTGGGAACACCAACCCTCAGGTTCTCTGGTTCGGCACCATTTTTCTTGGTGCTTCAATGGCGTCTCTTTTTCCAACTGGTCTTTCATGGCTGGAGCGGTATTTGAAAGTTAGCGGTAAAGCTGCAACCTTCTTGGTACTCGGTGCCGCATCTGGAGAAATGGTTATTCCATTTTTGGTAGGCCAGTATTTTTCTGATGATGATGATGACAATGGCCAGGAGAGCTCAGAAATTAATCTTAATATGTTGATGTACATGATATTAGTTGTCTCAGTTATACTGCCTTGCTTGTTTTTCTTTGCAAACCGAATTGCAGAGAATAAGGGTGACCGATACACAAAGAAAAATAGGTCAGACAGAGAAACATTGGTGACTCATGAAATTGTGGAAGCTGTTATTGAAGCAGCTCATAATCAAAAGAACTCAACAAATGGAAAGAAATTCTTGAGATCCAAAAAACACAAGGAATAGTGTTCTTCTCATTTATGGTGTGTTTTAATAATTGTGTACTGTAAATTAGTATAATGATTAAAATTGAATGGCCACACCTATAATTTAGTAGTAAAGCTTTGAATAAGAGAAGCAAATAAGTTTTTTTAAAAGTCAAACTGAGAAAAAAATCTAAAATTTTTCAGACATTTACAAAGAAATCTTTAATGAATCCTGATTGTACATTTATAATTTATAACAAATAATTGCTTTAATTTGTTGATTTATAGTTGCTTTATAATAGTACATAAAATTAAACTTGTTATAGTGCTCTAGCAAACCCTATATTTGGGCAATTTCATGGTAGAATTAAATAATAATAATAATGACATCTTGTAAGGTGCATGTATCCATTTCAGAGAGCTGCTCGCAGCGCCATTTCCACTTGCAAACTTGCAAAGAGAAACAACCTTTTCTGCATTTCATTTATTATATTTAGGTTATTTCATTTTATATAAATTTTCTTTTCATATATTTATTTTATTTTTTTTTGTTTAAAAAGTACTTAAATATACATTAATTACCAACTTAACTACAGACAACAGGCAAAACAAGCGCAAGATCTTAGAGGGTCATCCATCCATCGCCACTCTATTGCATTCCCTAATCTCTACCTAGGTGGCTCAAACAGAATGGGAAAAACATTTGCCCTGCCACAGACGGACTGGTGCTCAGAGGCGGCAAATATGGGAGTGATGTTTGGCCCTACCAGATGTGTTATCGTACTGAATACTCGGTACGTTCCCAAATACTAGCAAAATAAATTTGCAAGTGATTCGGGTGGGATACCCGAAATCATGTCGGAAATAGAATTCAAATTCACAACAGTTTTTGGCTTAAACTAAACCCAGAAGACTAGAGTGTGTCTTTGACAATAATTTTTATAAACTTGTATAAGTAGTACATACACCTTACAAAATAACCAACAGTGGTACTTGAAAAGTCCAATTTGAAAATTTATTGTGGAGAAAGAAAACAGACATTTTTATCTCAGGACACTGTAGGTACAGGATGTGGCTAAATTATTAATACAAGTTTCGCTGAGAAAATTATGGTTTTATTTATACTGTACTGTATTTGACTTGTTTTGTTTGGTAAGGCACAACTTTTTTTATTCCTTGTTTTGCGTACTTATTTTTTTAAAGATCATTGGAGGAAGGCGGAATAAAAATAAAATTTTGTAGTCTTATTTAGCAAATAATTTTGGCAAAAACATCCAGACAGAGGAGAAAATAAAAATATATTTTATTGGTGAATATAAAATAGTATGGTTAAATGCTTCAAATTTATACAATTTAGAAGAAATATACATATCTTATCTTTTTGAGATTTCAAACCAGTGGAGGGCATAATAAAAATTTTAAAAAATTATTTTTTTCTGAAATTTCCAATTTTTCGTAGCAGCGGGTGCGCTAATTGGCCAAAAATAAAATTTTATTTTTATTCAAAATCATCAATATTTGCAGTCTCGCCTAAACAGAATTTATTGACACAGTAACAGAATTGCATTTCCAATTACTGGTTGGAATAAAACTTCCAGCTACCAAAAAAACCATTTGTTCATATTCTTTAGTGTTCTTTTGATCTGCATCCTATGATTCCAATCTACTGTACTTACACTACAGCTATAGGCTTATAACAGGAAGTATTAGCTGTTGCAACTAAACCCACCTAAGATAATCCTAAAAGGCTGTTTTAGAATTCCTATCTGCCTGTTGTATAGCTCAAGATAACACACGACTTATCCATTAGATCTATTCCATCAATAACTGGTGACACAAATTTACCAAAGTCAACCATTTTTAGGGGCACAGGCTGATTTTGGCCTGGGAGTGGGTGGGGTGAAAAACGTCTCATTGTGGCGGTGGGGGGGGGGTGTGAAAATTGGAAATGTGAAACTAGATCCTCATTCCTATGAAAAATTCTTGGTCTGTCTTTAGTATACTATTCTAACCCACTTAGTGAAACTAATTTGCCACCAAAGGAGGGTGCATCATCAAGGCCTGCACCCACCCCTCCCCTCCCCTTCCCACCTATGCCCATGATTTCTACAAACTGTGTGGTGAGATTGTGATTGTGACTTTCAAGACCTGGCCAACATATATCTTGGCATTCTTCTGACCAACAATGCTATTGAGTACTAATAATAATAAACAAAACATTTGTTATGCGCCAATTTTAAAGTAAATTTTGAAAGGCACGAAAGTATAAATAGAAAAGTAAAAAGACAATTTAGTTGGACGTCGGAACAGAGTAGACTAACAGAGTATCTACAGTATAATATTTTCTAAATAGTGAATTAAGTCCTATACTGATTGCTATGACCAGTTGTAATGGATTTCTCTTATACACATCTCACTGTGAGCTAATATCACAACACAGTACTACCAAACTTTGCTTGCACTTAAGTTGTGCTCTCTTATTTGCCAGTTTATTGAATGATTGAACTAAGTATTTATGGGTGTAAACATAGTGCGCAGCGTTATCTGAGGGCCGAAGGCCTGAGCCAGGGGTGGGTATGGGAGGGGGATGTCCCCTCCTCCCAAAACAAGATTTTTTTTAAATATTGGAACTTCTAGATGGTCAGAAATGGCTGGGATGGGAAAACTAGGCCTATTTTTTGTCCCGATGAGCTTGGGCCGATTGGGGGAGGGGGGCTTGACACGGCGCCGCCACTGCCTGTACATAACATACAATTTACAAATAAAACAAACGCCTACCACAATTCTAAACAAATTTAGCAATCAACAAATACAACAAATTATGATCAATTCTAACGATACTGGGACAGGCAATAGTGAAAACACTGTTATCAAAGATGTGCCTGCCAAAACTAGAATTTACAAAATGTTATTAATTAACCAAGAACATACCAGTGATATGTGAAGCAAGTCAACTCGGCCACAGTCAACTCGGCCACAAGTCAACTCGGCCACAAGTTAACTCTGCCACAAATCAACTCGCCCACAAAAAGTTCGGCTACAGTCAACTCGGCCACAAGTCAACTCGGCCACAAGTTATTTATAATAAATAACATGTTATATATAGAATAAAATAATTAAAATGAAATGTAAATACAGTATTACTCAGAGTTGACTGTAGCCGAACTTTTTGTGGCCGAGTTTGACTTGTGGACGAGTTGACTTGTGGCCAAGTTGACTGTGGCCGAGTTGACTTGTGGCCGAGTTGGATCGAATTCATATAAAAACAATAATAATGATTGTGTATGTATGCGATATGCACACATATGTATATATGCAGTATACAATATACTCATGCTTATATTTCTTTAATGGTCTTATTGTGACAAATGTTTTAGCACTTCTAGATTATGATCCTCCTTATAATTTATACTTTTATCTACAATCTAAGTATGTATACTCAAGTTTGGTAGTTTGGAAATAAATGTCACGAAACAAAAAAAGAAAAACGATTCAACATAATTATAAAAATGTATATTTCACTTGTGCATTACATCACACAATTATTAATACTACATTAATCATTGTATATCATTTAATTCCATTTAAATGATTTAAAATTATTACATTATAAAAATACTGTACAGTATTTAATTCTGAATTTATTGCATGTCATTTAATTCAAAATATATTTTCATTCAACGTGCATTTCCTTTATCAATTATAAAAATATTTATTTTATAATTATTTATTTAATTTTAAATATGATTGTACAATTACTATTGTATTTCCAAAAAATGAGATCGCAAATTAAAATTCGTTTAAACATTTTAAAAGAATCATTAATAAAGAATCCTCAATTGAAATAGTTAAAGCTGACTAAATTCTGGGAAAAGAAATAATAGCATTATGATATGAAATTGTACGTCCCGCTAAATGAGGAAAATCCACAATTCCTGTCATTTATTTTTTTCCAGTGGGTGTAACATGACATCATCATACCCAAATTTTATCAGTTTTTGAGTGACAGTGTGCAAATAGCCACCGAGTGGTGGAGCCAGGATTTTTCCCGACGGTAGAATAACTAGGTGGGACCAGAGCAGCCAAGAAACGTTAAAAGGGGTCCCTGGAAACACTTAAAATTATGTTTTTTCTCCCCGACAGGTGGGGAGGGAGATCTCTCGAGGGGCCCCGCCCTGCCTGGTTCCGCTAGCACCATTACTGATAGCCATGAAAGGAGAACTTCAGCAGTTAGCTGTATAAATCTTTGAATATATGAAGTTAATTAACATGCAATGCAATTTTTATAGTTGTCGGAATTGAAAAAATGTGGAATAGAGAATGGTTGAATTGAACTGAACATGCAGCTATTGTGCTTGGTAAATTTAAAATTCATAACATTCTGTTGATTGCCCACAGGTAGTACTTGTCGGGAGCTATAAGAAGCAACATTTTCGTCGTTGAAACAGTAACATTGAAAACAAACATCATCAAAACAAATGGCTTTTATTGGAATTGTTTTAAATATTACTACTTTTTACATTGTAAGTGAAAGTGTGCAGAAAAAATTACATATAATTTTTTTCCCTCCCCAACAAATTGTGTTTTTCTCCCCGACAGGTCTTCTTCTTGCAAACATTCTATTCGGAAACTAAAAAAGGAAGTTATTTCAAATTATTAATAGATACTTTTATGATCTCTTTTGTTTTGTTTTGTTTTATTTCGTCTTTATTTTTTTATTTTTTAATTTTTTTTTGTTCCGTTAAAGGGACAGCTGAGACAAGCCTGGGCTTCTAAACTGGTCCCTCACCATTGTATTCTGATTTTGTCTTTGGTGAAATAATGTCACGTTGATTTATTGATTGGTTGAGCAAAATAATGGTTCATCAAATTTTCGATCATGTGGAGAGAAAGGAAGTGCTGCCCGCTGTATGCCTACTTCACTAATTATTCCCTCATTTTGTCCACCAGACGATGAATTTAGAATTGGAATAATAAATAAATTGAATGATATAGCGTGTGTTGAGATTTCATGCAGCAATTGACTGGATAGCTTGAATTAACAGCAAAACCCTGTCTATGAATTGCATTGCTCAGAAATTTAAAAACAAATAGGACTTTCAGAAACAGAAAGAATAAACTACTTTGTAGAGGAAAGTGGAACAAGCTACTAACCTAATATACATCATTCCACGCAGAAACCTTATAAGATTTATAAGAATCTTGCGTGTGTGTTTGTCTGAGTTTGCCATTTAGAAAAGTGAATGTTCGCTGTTTGGCATGTCCTATGACCCCTGTTCCTAAGTTGAATAAATATATTATTTTAGTAAATAGTTGCATTTGCGGTGGGCCTACTGTTTGTGCCTAACAAGTGTGACAAGACCTATTCTTAGCCGACATATTTTGTTGCGTAGATCAGGCTTACAAACTTATGACGGCCGCTATTTTTTCTGCTCCGTCATCAGACCAGTCATTGAATAGGCCTTGTATCACCCACTAATGCAACAATCAACCACCAACCACCGATGTAACATTAACCACTGTTGTAACAACAATCAACCACTGTTGTGAAATTAACCACTATTGCAACAAAAATCAACCACTGTTGTAATAATTCATCAACCACTATTGTAACAGCGATGTACTCTAACCATACTTGTAACAAAATTCATTAAACCACTATTGTAACAATGATTTAGCCACTAATGTAACAACGTACAATATAGAAG